TTTTGGGTTTTGTACAATATTCTCTTTCATGGGTTTTTATTCACAGATAAAAATATTCACAGTGCCAAAACGCACACAGAGAACAACAATTTTGTTGTTAAAGCACAGAAGGGAAAAAAAAGCATCCAAAAGCTCTTGCCACAAAACATGGAGAAACTGGCATATTTTTTGTTTTCTGTGTCAAAACCACTGAAGTGGACATTTCTGTAGTTTTGCCACAATCAAGTACAGGACACACATGGCTATTTTGGTAATAACTCATTTCCCCAACCCTCTGCTCAATATCCATTGGGAAATAGGTGGTGCAAGTATGATTTCTAATTTACAGATGGGAAAACAGGTTCAGAGATGTCCAGTGACTTGTCTGTGGCCACAAAGCTGAGACACTTTTGATCTGGGATTCAAATATAAGTCTCCTAATACCAAGGCCAGCCCTCTGAATGGTCATTTCTTCTTGATCTATGCAGTATGAAAGGAAATGGGGATTTGGCTACTATTATATGATTTTCATAGTTGACCAAATCTGGGTGAAATGTAAACTGAACAATTCATATGTTTTGAGGCTTGGAATAACAGAATGGGAGCAGGAATGTCATAGAGGCAGAGCCACAGGATAGATAGATGATTGCCCTTGAAGTCAGGTTTATTTAAGTCTTGTCTGGGATGTTTAACTAGCTGTGTAACCAAGGGCAAGTTGTTTAATCTCTCTGTGCCCCAGCTAATTCTTTAAGGCTGTCTATCAATTGATGAACTGTGTGATGGTGGAAGGAGTTCATGAAATCATAGGATCTTAGATGTAAGGCTAGAAGAGACCTCAGAGGATAGTTATCCAGTCTGAAACCCTTGTTTTACAGATGAAGAAACTGAAGTTAGAAACAGAGAAGTTAGAAAACTTGCCCAAGGAGGCCTAGATAAAGGAAGTGGCAAAGCCAGGATTTGAACTCAAATCCTGGGTAACTCCAAGTTCAACTCTCTTTCTACTGTTCCACTCCTCCCTACATCAGGGAAATCACAGGCTTATACCAAAAAATAGTTTGACTTGAGGGGAAAAGATTCCATTAAAGTGTTAATTAAGGGCTTCACTAATTTATTTTGGACCTAGACAACAGTTTCACTATCTAGTGGCCAGGTGAGATTCTCACTTTTAAAGAAGATTATTGTTGGTGGTGGGGAAGCTAGAAAATAAACAAGAAAGCAACCCATGGTCAGTGATACTCAAAGTCAAAACCTACATCTGGATCAACAGAGATTCAAAAATTTCTAAGAACCCTTCAGCTACCAGGGGTGGGAAACCTGTGGCCTTGAGGCTATATGTGGCCCTCTAGGTACTCAAGTGAGGTCCTTTGACTGAATCCAAACTTAAGAACAAATCCAGATTTGTTCTGTAAAACTTGGACTCAGTCAAAAGGCTGAATCCAAGGACCTAGAAGACTACATGTCTGAAGGTTCCCCACCTGTCATTTTAATTGAATTAACCTACTATGTGCCAAGCATTGTGTATGCACAATGATACAAAGATAAACATGTAAGAATCCTGCCTTTGAGGAATTTACATTCTTGAAATGCCCAACCTGGGAGATGGATACCTCTGGCCAGACAACCTCCTGGGTTGTATAGAAAGCTAAAACCGGGGGGGGGGGGGTGTCAGTAGAATAACCTTCTAAATGGTCTTCCTGCCTCAAATGTCACCCTACTGTGATCTATCTTCCACTCAATTGCCAACGTGATTTTCCTAAATCATAGATCTGATTATATTACACAACCCTCCCTGTGCCCCACCACCACCACACTCACTAAACTCTTATGATTCCATATTACTGTCAGGATGAAATATAAAGCCCTGCGGCAATTAGAACTCTTCATTACCTGGCCCCTTCTTACTTTTCAAGTCTTCTACTTTATTCCCCTCTATGCATAGTATGATGCCATCATACTGCCCTATTTGCTGTTCCCCAAATAGGACACTCTATCTTCTATAGCCATGCCTTTGAAGTTCCCTGTGCCTGCAGTAGTTTTTCTGATGTCCTTTGAGATTCAGTTCAAATCCCACTTTCTGTAGGAGGCCATCCCTGGTTCCCCCAGCTACTAGTGCTTTCCCTTCTGGTATTACTTTCTCTCCACTTTGCACATACCTCATTATCTATATATTGTATTCCCAACTAGAATATGAGTTCCTTGAAGTCAGAGATTTTTTTTTTTGCCTCCCCACCCACCACCATTTACAATGCTCAGCACTGTGCCTGGCACACAGTAAGTGCTTAATATGTAAATACTTGTTGACTTCCTGACTGCCCCTTTCTTACCTTCAGATCACTATGGGACTGGAGCCCCATCTCAGGCTCCCAAATGAAGCAAGAATAATGGCAGCTCAGAAGATGGAGGAATGAGCCCTCAAGCCTCTCCCACTGCTCCTCATACTAAGTGACCTTGTCTGGTAGGAGAAGACTTTACAATCTTTTGGGTTACTATGTGTTACTATTTGTTACACAAATGTGCGTAAGGGAAAGGAATGAAATGTACTCCCATAATTTCCTATAAGACTACTCTAAAAATACCAGGTACCATCAAGAAATTGCTATTTTTGGTATCATGGAAACCTGATGCCCAGGATTTTTAAATCATCCAGTACAGGAAAATCTGGCAATGGATGGTGATAACAAAGTAAGTCTAAGAACTTTTGACTAAGAGTCTAAAAAATTCCAACAAATTCTGAAAGAGAATATACACTTTTGCTGATGAATAGTCTTAACAAAAAGGGTGGGACAGCTAATAAATAAGAAAGAAGGGTATTTCTCCAAACATTATCAATAATTTTATAAAGTATGACTTCAGGAAAGTTGTTAGGAGTAAACACACATGATATTCTATACTTCTTTTTACACAATCACTCTGATTTTTTATTTTCGCTATACTTCCTAATGAACTTTCCCCTAATCTCCATGCTATAGATAGTACATGACAACTGGTATTTTTCAAAACATACTCCTCAAATGTCTCCCCTAACAGTTAAAACAAACAAACAAACAAACTCTTAAGGTTCTAAAAGAAAGCTGCCTCTGTTGTCAATTAAAAAAAATATGTGCACAGAGAACTATAAACAATCCTGGTGCAACAAATACTCAGAAGTTTAAATCAGGTCATTGTAGACAAAGCAAATGAAACCACAACATTCAATGAAAAGTGTAACTTTATTTGGTTGATCCACAAAAACCCTACCTTTAGACTGTTTAACTTAATATGCTAGCTCAATAAATTACTTCTCAGAAAGTTAAATATTTTGTATTCCTCTCTAAAATGCAAAAATTGGGCTAATAACTTTTAAAAAAAAAAACAGAATTAGACATTCTCAAAAGCCTAGAATTCGGAATCTAGAATGCATATTGAATTTATATTCAATTAATGAAACCTTAGCTAATGAGTCAGTTTAAAGAAATTTGTCTTTTCTCTCTTTGCTTTCAGAGCTTATGTAACAAACGAAACAATGAAGTAGAATCAACTGTCAAGGAGTTAAAGTTCTGATAAATACTTTGGAACTTAGTCTTTTACTGCTAGTACACAACCCACTTTGTTTCTTTTGTTTTGCTCAACCTGCCAGCATCTAATTGGGGAAACAGGCATTAAAGGTGTTTGACAAATAGTCAGGCCAAGATATGCTGTACATATTCATACACACCAATAAATGATGAGAGGAAGTTTAAGATGCAGTAAAAATAAATTTCGAGAGTTTAGCTCTGGTTTCATATAACAGCACTTCCATAAAGCACTTAGAACACTAAGGCGGCAATACCCTCCAGATAGTACACAGGGGACACATCCTTTAAATAAATGTGTTCCTTTGCCTGAACAGAAGTTCAAACCTGCTCAATTATCATTAATTTTGTTCCTTTTATTATTATTATTTTTTTCCCCAAGCGTGAACGAAGAAGCCGAGGCCTCTGAGGCTTTGCAGGCAGCTCTTGGCCGGTCTAGGTTACTGGTGATTATTCATCCAGCCGCCATCCAACAGTCGCGAGCTTGGGGCAAAGCCTTCTTTTTTCAGCCTTCCCTGCTACTTTGGAGAAACTGAGGAGGAAGGGGTTGTAGGCACTTTAGATCCAGCCACCAGCTCGCAGGTGAGTCAGTCAAGGAAAAGAGCGAGGTCGAGCACAGTTTAGAAAGAAGCCCCTGTAACAAGCTCAGATGCGTGGAACAGGCGATCCTTAAAAGGCACCACAGGCTTGTACAGCATTAAAAGCAATTGCCATAGGAAAGGACAATGTAAACAGCTACAAGAAACCTTTGAGCCCGAAAGCAGACTCACATTACAGAGGGCATCCCCTCCCTCACTTTGGGCGCAGGTCCCCCAGAAATACTGGCGTCGTGGAGACTTGGGTAGGAATCCATAGAGGGGCTAGGTTCGGGCATCCTGGATCTTCTGGCTGGCTCTTTTTTTATTACAGTGACAATGGGTAAAGTGGGTGGCGAATGGGCAACTCTGTAGAGGGAGAGGGAGAAGGGAAGATTGAGGGCTGATGGGATAATACGGGAGCAGCAGCAGCAGAAGCAGTGATTTGCTCCTGCACTGTGACCTGGGACAGCAGATTTTTTTTAATACTCACCCCCCCCGCCCTTTCAATCCATCGCTCTCCCCTCCTCCCACTTCGTTCCTTTTAAAGGACTCCTTCCCGGGAAAGCTGTCAGCAGCCAGGAGAAGCTATTTGTGCTCTGCTCAGACTAGAGCAGCTTCTCCTCCGGCCCGGCGAAGTGGGGATGAGCCCTCGGGAGGAGCGCAGCAGCGCCCTCATTGCCTGCCTCCCTACTGTCTGGACGTCGCCACACGTGGGACCCCTGTTCCCTTCCTACTGGGCTCAGGTCCCTTAGGCTACTCCGGGCAGTTCGTAAAGGAGCGGGAAGAAATAAATTGCACTCTAAGACCTCCACCAGCAAGTTCCCACCTCATGGTGTGATTTTTCCTGTGAGGAGTGGGGAGGGAGGAGGGGGGGGGTTGGTAGGGTGTTAGAAGCACCCCCAGGCCCAGAGAACTATGAGTCGGGTAAAAAGCCTCGGCAGCAGCAGCAGAAACAGTAACAGCAGCCCCAGGAGCCTCGGCCACCGAAGCAGCAGCCGCCACAGCAGCCAGGGTAGTGGTCGCCCCTGCCCCCTCCGGCGAGTCCTGCTTTCCAGCGGATCCCACTACAAGCGCCTCCCGTAGCCGCTTTCCTTGAGCGGTCCAGTGAGACAACCTCCCCTGACCTCGGCCAGTCAGGGTTCTCAGCTCCATTCTACCTGATGCACCATGCTGACCTCGGGACTGAGGGGACTGGAGAGCCACTGCGACCGCCTGCCTGGCTCGTGCTGATCTCAGCGGGAGCAGTCTCTGCCGCTGGGGTAAGCCCGGGGTGCTGGGCGACGGCGCGCCCCCAGTTTCACAACTTACTGCCTAAGGGAAGCAACCGCAGGTCCTGCCTCTGCCTCCCTCCACCCCACCCTCTCCTTTCCCTAAAATCCTTAGGAAAGGCGATGGGGGCGCTGCTGGCGCTCTGTCTCCTCCTGGCCTGGCTGCGCTGGGGCCCCGTTGGGGCGCAGCAGGACGGGGAGTACTGCCACGGCTGGGTGGACGCGCACGGCAACTACCACGAGGGTTTCCAGTGCCCAGAGGACTTCGACACGCTGGATGCCACCATCTGCTGCGGCTCCTGCGCCCTACGCTACTGCTGTGCTGCCGCCGACGCTAGGCTGGAGCAAGGGGCTTGCACCAACGACCGAGGCGAGCTGGAGCACCCGGGCATCACCGCGCGTAAGTGTCCAGCTCCTAGCAGGCGCAGCCCCCACCTTGCCATCTGTGCCGGCTGTTGGCTGTTTGCTGTTTGTGCGCGCTAGTGTGTGGGTGCGCGCGCGTGCAGTCTGTTCCTTCCCCCTAGCCGGAATACTACTCCCTCCCAAGGGAAGAAGGGGTTGCTTTCCCGGTTCCCCTCCAACTCCCCTCACATACCCCCAGGGTTAGTCCTTGGTGTGCTGGCAGCAACGGGACTAGACGGGACAGGTGTGAGACTGGGTACATGGGTGCCCAATTTCGCTCCTTCTCATCCCACTATAAGTTGCAGGGCAGAGGAGGCGCGCCGCCCATTAGATAGGCGCAGGTCCTAGTGCAAAAATTACCCTGAGAAATCTGCCCCTTCCGCACTGACAGAGATCAGATTTTTCTGATTTCTTAGTGCTTAGCACAGAGCCTGGCACACCCTAAGCGCTTAACAGATGCAGTTGACTTGACTTAGGAGCCAAGGGCTGGCATGCTTTGCCCTATGTACATGGTATTGTAAGCTTGGGTGAATGTGCTTGAATTCTCCGAGTTTTCCACGTAGACTAGTGAGGTGGGGGAGTTTGGAGAGAGGGGAAAGAGTCCGGGACTGCGGTCTCCCTAGAGCTGGAAGACGTTAGTGAGTGGTGATGGAGTGTGAAACTTTACTCCTGACGCCAGTTAATCAACAGCCCCGTACTGAAGGCAAAGCCTGAGTCACTTTTTCTTTTAAATCTTTCCTGCACCCCTCCCCCAATCCCTTTCCTTTCTTTGCATCAAATTACCCTTTCCCTCCCCCACAACCAAACTGAAAACAGCGCAAATCACTGCCACCAGCGTGGCGATTTTAAAAGCCCCAGTAGGCAGCCCTCCTCCCTTTTATTCTCGCATCAGAAAACACGGGTCGAGTTTCCGCTCAGCTTCAGAGCTGAATAAATCACAGCCCCCACCAAGGAACCTTATACCTTAGGAAGAAAGTTTTTTTTTTTCCTACCTGAGTCTTAACTTTGGGAAAACACTTTAGGCAGTGGTTTAAAGGCCAACGAAGCTAGAGGAGACAGTGAGGCCAGGGAGCCCAGGGAGCCCTGACGTCGTGAAGATTTGGACGAAAACAGGTGAAGTAACCCAGAGGACAGCTCCAAGGTCGGTGGTAAATAAAATTAAGGAAAGAATCCCTTAACAGATGAGGATTGCTGTTGGAAAGGGAAGGGAATAAGAGCTCTCTTCGATAAGCTTTCTTTTAGAATCTGGTTACTCCCCCCATTTCTCTGTGTTTGGGGGTCACTCACATATTAGGAGGAGGATTTGGGAAGTAGTTGTGGGGAAGATTATTTTAGATGCTCGTTGTGAGTTGCCTAGTCACACCACAAGAACAGCTCCATTTATTAATGAATCGATTTACATTATATGTAAATCACTTTGCAAACTTTAAAAAGCTATAAAAATGTTAGTTATTATTATTGTTGTTATAGGAAAAAAAGAGAGGCCACAAATCTCTCCCAACCACTCCTTTCTCCTCATCCTTTGAGAACCTTGCTCCTTCCTTGAGTCTAGGGTGCTTAAATCATTTATGCTTAATTTCTCAGGTTACAGCATTCTTGACACTATCAGCCTAGGAATCAATCTCTCTCTGTCTCTCTGTGTGTCTCTCTTTCTCTCCCTCCCTCTCTCCCCCATATTTTCTTTGCCGTCAACGGAAGGGCAGGAATACACCTGCCTAAAAAGGGGCAAGCAGCCCCGAAGCTTTCTTCTCACATCCCTTCAGGGGCCTTGCTGCCTCTGAACCTTTCTTGGGCAGCTTTTATAGATGAAGGCTTGGCCAACTTGGGCGATTTGATTCTGATAAATGGACACTACATGAGGCAAATACATCTCACAATATACTTGCATGGTGTGGGTACAAATAAAGATGGAATTTGGCCTTGCTAATGAAAAAGGTTGTTATGCAGAAAATTAGGGTTGAAGACATCAAGAATTGCATCAGTAGCATGGTCAGTCTTTGGCCCAGCTGACCTCTCAGGGGTTCAGTAAGAATGATGTTTAGGGGCCTAGATGCCTTGAAATAAACATTGTGTCCTTCCTGGGCTTACCAGGGAGTTGTTGATAAGAAGCTGTAGAAGAGACATGAAAGTAATTAAGAGTATTAGGAAACAGGGAATGCAATGGATTTTTTATATGGGTTTTTGGAGTTTCTTGAAACAACTTCTAAATGCAGCTCAACTAAGTCTTAGACTTTGGCTGTGAGTGGGTGATTCTGTGATGTGAGAGAAGTCTTCGAGACAAGAGGCTGCTCTCAACAACATTTTGGATTTTTAACACAATCAAATTAATCCAAATTAAACTCTGTTCCTCCTACCCCCATTGCTTTAGTGAGGGCAGGGGACTCTTCAGCTGTAGTGATTTCCAAATGCGGGTAATGTAAAGATGTGGCTAACAAACTGCAATCTTGGTTTGGTTTCTCCCTCTTTGGTCATTAGACCTGGAATCAAGTGCATGGGAGATTGTAAGGACTAAGCTTTGAGAAACGGAGTTACGAGAAGCCTGAGCCTACCACAACTTGAACTGAAGCCAATGAGCGGCCAGAACGTATTTTAAGCAGAACTGGAAGGCATGGCAAGTCTTTAACAAGGGTGTCTTCCTTTTTTTTTTTCTTTTCTTTTTAGAACCAGTCTATGTGCCATTCCTGATCGTTGGCTCCATCTTCATCGCCTTCATTATCCTGGGCTCCTTAGTAGCTATTTACTGTTGCACCTGCTTAAGACCTAAACAAACATCCCAGCAGCCCATTCGTTTCTCACTTCGAAGCTACCAGAATGAGACCCTACCCATGATTCTGACCTCCACTAACCTCAGGACGCCTTCGAGGCAGTCCAGCACTGCAACCAGTTCCAGCTCTAATGGAGGCTCCATTCGAAGATTTTCTTTCGCCAGAGCCGAGTCTGGTTGTTTGGTGCCTTCACCTCCCCCACCTTACACATCAGGCTGTTTACAGACAGGTCATTCAATCCACCTGACCCAACCATCTGGATTCCTGGTGTCACCACAGTATTTTGCTTATCCCCTCCAGCAGGAGCCAACACTTCCTGGGAAAAGCTGCTCGGACTTCAGCCCAAGTTGATAGGAATAATGCAGCGGAATGAAGGACAAGTGGAGTGTGTTTTGAGTTACGCTCATGTTAATACTTAGATGATGTTCTGGGGCATCAGAACAGATCATCATGGAGAAATATTTCTTTTCTAGAATTAATATGTTCTCCCATTTGGATGTTTTAGGTAATTGTTTTTTTGCCTTTTTTTAAAAAAAGGTGACCATTACATTTTAATTTGCTATCTTTACTCATAATTACAGCAATTAGAAGTTTAAACCAGTTTCTGTTCAAAAGATTTCATGGTCAACTCAAAACATTATTTGTATAGAAGATATTAGAAGTTACTCTTTTAAGCCCAAGTGGTTAATTTAATTATAATGAAAAAAAGGAAGTACTTGATTATAGTTATCAGAAATTCATTGAAAAAAAAAACCCTAATCACTTCTTAATAAACTAGGGAACCCTGAGCATCTTGGACAGTATTTAAGTATGTTGAGATAATTATTGTATTAATAATCACACAACTCAAAATACATACTTTTCAGAATACAATATGAAAAAATTTAATAAGTAATTTTCTTTGTTAGCAAAACCTAACTAAAATTTCCCCCTAGGGAATATTTATTGTGAACTTTTGTTCAGTGACATTTAGTATATAAATGAAAGTTGGACAATTGAATCTTAAAGTTTTATTTGTAAAATTAATTATGTAAAAATGTGAAGATATTTGTAATTTAATGTATTTACACATTGACAATACTAATTATCTAGTTATCACACTGAATTTTTATGTTAATAAAAGCTGTGGTTAAAATTCCTGTTATTGTCCATCTGTGCCAGATCGCTAAGACCAAGCAGTCTTTGAACTAAGACCAGTATATTTTTGTACACATCCTGTTGTGAGATGTAGTGAACTGATTTGCTTTTATAAAAACTTTTTAATTTTTAATCAAAGCACCTCATTGTACAGGAGACCTATGTAAACCACTTGATAGTAAAGGAGACATACATATGTTACTAAATTTAGAAATCTAGTGGTATCTAATATTGAATTTAAATTGCTTTAAAAAGCAGTCTCTTATATCTGATTATAAATGCAGGGTACAAGCATATATTCAGCACTTACATATGCTAGGCACTGTGCACCTAAAAAAAGGTGAAGAAAGTTAGCAAAAATGTTATGTATTATCATGTCTTCCTTTCTTTTATGACAGTCACTTATTCAGAGATAGACCCTTATGGTGATCTAAGAGCATGTTTCTGTATGTCCCCAATATATTTTTGAAATGTACAGTTGAAACTTGTGCTAGTGATAATGGCTTGTACTATTGATACAGGTTGTAACTATTTTCATATAGAGTCTTTTTCATACAATGACTACATCACTACCAGTGAAACATATATGTTAAGGTTTTTCTACTATCAATTGTGGAGGATACAAGTAAATATAAAACAGTTCCTTTTCTCGGGAAACCTGTTCACCTGCTTCCTGATATAAATTTTGGTACATCTCCAGATGATATGTATACACATTTGCTACGGCTTAAAGGTTCAGCCTTGGCCCTATGAAATAGCAAACTAACAGTCTTACAGAGATCAAACTGCAGCTTCAGCATTGTCAACAGTACATTTTAGCCAACTGAGCCTATTGACTATAAATAATTGAAAGGTTTTTTCTTTAACAACTTATTAGTTAAAATTGTACTATACCTTCTCTTTTTATTTCTGTAATAAATTCATGGGAAACCTGTTTAAAACAAATCTATTGATGTGAGGAATTTAATAGGGTTTCTGAAGTTAATTTATTATAAATCTTTAAAACCTCAACCTTAAAAGTCTTTCTAAGCACTTATTTCCACTTTAGAGTGGTCATTAACTTCCAACATAGTCACACTCTTTAGCACTGCTGATAATGGAAACTTGGAAAGATAGTTTCAAGAATAAGTGTTTCCTGTACATAGCATTGTGAAAGCAGGCCAGAATGATTAAGTTGCATAATACATATCCATAGAAAATATACATCATTTTTATGAGTTTATTATAAACCTGGAGAGAAAAGGGACGGCATGAGAGATCTCAGGCAATCCCTTCATTTCATTGATTAATAAACAAAGGCCCTGAAAGAGGAAGCAACTTGTCCAATGCTTAAGCAGTAGATACACTATTGCCACTTTTCCCACACCATTTATAATGGCAATTTCAGAATAATGTCATCATGATTTCACATGAACTCAATTAACATTTCTTAATCCAGTGTGTGGTATAAGCCTGTAATAAAGTATCCCTCTATGCCCTGGATTTGTTTGTATAGATTAGATGTTATAGTGATGTAGAGTGGAGAAATATACTGACATAACATAGAAAGTCTATAAAATAAACAGTGTTCTCTCTGTCTGTTGAGCATCAGTGTTATGGTGATGTACAGGAATGTCATGTTTTCAGACAACAGGACAAAAGAGTTCTATGACATTTATTGCATTTTTAGCAATTGCCCCATACCTCTGGTGTCTTTCAATGGTCTGTGTTGCCTGCAGCTGCTGATTATATCCAGTAGAATAAAAGGCAAGGTAGTCCCCTCTCCAAAATGACTACGTAACAAGATGATTAGGTATAAATTGCATTTGATTATTGTTTTAGTTAAGCTATCTATGTTCATCTGCATTAAACCATTTTTTGTGGATAATGTGAATTCTATACTTAAAAAAATAGGCACATATCTGACCTTATTTCCTGGGGGTGGGGTGGGGGGACTTTTTGCTGACCTACTTTTCAGGCAATCTATTAGAAGGAAAAGTTATGATCAATTCATATGATGCTAATAAGAAACAGATTTCCTTGATAGAGAGTTCTCTATAATAAATGGAAAATTGCCTTGACTTTTTAGACATAATTAATCCTTGGCTACTGACAGAATGGGGCAGTGAGGTGGTGAAGTGGATAGAGTACCAGGCCTGGAGTCAGGAAGACTCATCTTCCTGAGTGCAAATCTGGCACCAGACAGTAAGCATGTGACCCTGGGCAAACCGCTTAACCCTGTTTCCCTCAGTTTTTTCATCTGTAAAATGGGCTGAAGAAAGAAATGGCAAACCACTCTAGTATCTTTGCCAAGAAAACCCCAAATAGGGTCATGAAGAATAGGACATGACTGAAAAACAACCAAACAACAAATTGACAGAACATTTAAAATAACTGATTAGCTTCCCTTTAAACCCCACAAACCTACTACTACATCAATGTGTACTTGGGAATGGCAAACTTATTTTGTTATTGGCTTAAGAAAAAAGAATTAAGCAGATTTGCTAGGTAACTACGGGGGACAGCAGATGGAGGATGTGGAGTCAGGGAGATCTGAGTTTTAAATTTAGTCTCACACCCTGGGGCAAGACACAACTGCTATCTGCCTCAGTTTCCTCATTTATAAAATGATATACAAAGAGAAATATATATATATAATCCTATGACCTGAGGTATAATTAGTACAACAAAAACATCCTTGAATGTGTTATGCATAGTAAAACCATAGTAATTTGGGTTTCACCGCTTAAGAATTTGTGATGGTTGTCCTGGGATGGACTGAAATCTACTTTCATACTATCTGAATAAAGAATTTGCTTAGAGCACTAATAGTGAAAAAAGACTCTGGGGATATGCCTAACCTAAAGAAAAGAAACTGTTATCATGCTGTTTATCTGCATATAATTGCTGCTAATTGCAATTAATTATCTGGCCTGACAAAAATTTTGTTGAAACTCTAGTTATTGTATATTCTTGAAAGCAATAAAATAAAATTTCTCTATTCTATATTCAGTATTTTCCACACCTTCTGACTAGTAACTCTTCTAATTAGTCAAAGTTGATGATGTATTTTTCTTTCAATTAAGAGGTGGTTTGTGTTTTTAAAAATAGAGAAATATGAGGTCAGAAATGCTGAGTATACAGAAGTAAACCACACTTGGGGGCAAAGGATTTCAAAAATCTATTATTATATATATCTTAAAGTAGACAGGACAAGCACAATGTATATTAATTCCAAGTGCTCAATCAAATACGCTAATATTTCAGGAATAATCTAAGAATAAACATTTTCTATATAATCCCATGTGTATTTTTTAAATCTATAGATACATATAATGGGGAGGAAAGGAATGGAGTGAAATTGGATATTATATAGCCAAAAACCAAACCTGCCACCTCACTTTGATGCAGTCTAAAGTTTTTTTCCCACTCAAAGTTCCACTTTCCCAGTTGTGCCCATGTTCACTTAGTCTAATTCAGTAGTTTTCCAAATTGTAAGTTCAGCTTTTTCTAAAAAAGAAAGAAAAAGGTAAGACTCCTTTCTACACTTCAGCTTCCTTTTTTTTTTAACCAAGAAGCAACTGTTTTTGCCAAAGGTATGATCCCCTACCCTTAATTAATTTCTAGTATTTTACCTTGATCCAATTCTTACCCTTCTCGTCAAATTTCACTTTAGCTTCAAAACTTGTCATGGTTTCCCATTAATCCTGAAAGTCAACTGTGTGTGTGTGTGTGTGTGTGTGTGTGTGTGTGAGACAGACAGACATAGAGGCAGATATACACACAGAGACACTAAGAGAAATCAAGAGACACACAAAGGGAGAGAGAGAGACTCTTCTTTTGATGAAGATTAGTAATAGGTAAACTAAATGAGTGATTTCTCAAAAAAAAAAGGTTCACCCAACATGACTGGACTTAGCTTGAACTAATTATCTATATTACAGAGTTGCTCTTTAATTGTTATAGCTAATAGGAATGCTTAGATTAAAACTGATTTTGGTGAAAAGAAAGCTGAAAAATATTGAGTAGCACTGAATATTAATTAACAATAAAACAATTTTCTCTTTCTCTTCTTTCCATACAAGTAAAATACATAGTTCCAAAGCAGAGTGATATTATGTTTCACTTCATCAGTTTAAAAGGAGGGCGTGTTCTTTGGATCACAGGTTTCAAAAGGCAAATTATTTTCCAAAGCAATACAATGTACAACGTTTTAGGTTTTATATATGCAGGTTTAAAGAAACTCAAACAACCATTTTGAAATTTTTTGGACCAGTATTGAAAACATGAAGACTTTTCTTTATGTAATGACATATTTTATTTCATTTTTAATAACAATTAAAAGACAATGCATTTAAAATTTGCAGGTCAAAACATGCACATTCACAAAATGCCAGTGACATGTAACACTGCACAGAACTGAACATTACTAAATTTTAATAACTATTTATAAAACATAGTGCATTTAATGTCAAGTTAAAACAAACCTGAGAAAACTGCCATAAACACGGAGTCAAACAACTATCCACTCATGCAACCGTGAAGGTCCCACAACAGCTTCTGCAGTAGCAGTGTGGTGCAGTCTGACAATCCTACCTCCTCTTTAATGCAAACGTAGTTTTGCCTTGTTGCTGCTTTCAATGTAACACTTTTCACTTAATATACACTGAAATATTTAAGTCAAAAATGAAGCTCAAGGTAGGAAAAAATGCACTGCTAACTGTATTTATGGCTTCTATTCTACAACAACAAAACAAACATAATCTTTTTATATATTCTGGTCACATTTTTACAACAAGAGATTCACTTATAGAAAGTCAGAACTAGGAATAAGCAGATATGAAAATCCAATCTTCAGAATGCTACCATATTTCCTACTTAAAAGGTTTATTTGCCAAGAAACTTTAAAATGCAAAATTCTGTCAATCAATCCAAATAAATGATTTAGTTAAATCTGCTGAAATTTGTTTGAAAAGAATCTACTCATCTAGAAAGGTCAAACTGAGGACCAATCCATTTGCCCACTGAACATTAATTCTTGGATATACTATGATATGACTTTGGAAGGCAGAAAGAAATATCAAGATTTATAGCAAAAGCCATGCATTTGCTCAGGCCACTTTAAAATATTAATTCATGCAGACAAACCATAAACTCATCAAAAGCACAGCTGCTTTTACATAGAAAATGAATCAAGATTTTAAAAGGGAAAAATTCATTTCCTTTCCTTTAAAATTTAATATACATTCCAATTTTATAATGTCCAAGGTTAATTAAAATTCAACAAAGTAGAAGTTTCATAAATGATATTTAGTTATTTATATGAGAAAAATTCACAATATGGTAATCTTTCATAGGTATAGCAGAAATTTTCATTATCATATGTCTTTTATTAGGCACCTAATCATGGGTGCCTAATAAACTGCACAAACCTAGTCCCTCTGGCGTGTGTGTGTGTGTGTGTGTGTGTGTGTGTGTGTATTTAGCAGTTATGTGGGGGAACAATTTTTTAGAAACTGATTATTCCTAAGCTTACTGATTTATTTGTAGAAAGACTTCTTAAATGAGGACTGCCATAGGGCAATTTTACATACATACAAAAATCATTGAGGATTACTTAGCTACACAATAATTATGACATGCTTCTAAGCATTTCACAACTGTTTGTAAGAAATCAATGATTGAGAGCCGGCATTGTTTATAAAAGGGGATTTTAAATGCAAAGTTATTATTAAGCACTGCACATTATGCAGAATTTCACAATACTGAGTTCAGAAATTGTAATCTGTTTCACTATAAGAGTTAATGTTCAATAACTGACCATTTTCTCTCACTTGAAATTAGCAGGAGTCACTGGCTAAGTTTAATAAGCATACACAAAATGCATGAAACTAACTCTGTTGAGCAGGGGGCATGTTAAAGTGTGTTGCACATCTGACCTGATTAACAATAGGTGAAGTTTGCCGAAAGTCTTTTTTTCTCAACTAAAGTATCTAGATCATTTCTACATTTTTTTTCCAACTAGCTTCCTGAGAAACACCATTAGGCTGTTAACAATTGTTTTTTAAGAACATAGCAACTACTTGGTGCAAATATATAATCAAAACCCTGATGCAGCTAGATAAGTTGAGATTTCCACATGAACTCAAATTTATAAGCAGTAGTTCTTGTGAGGCAATGTTTCCTTTGTGCCTAACAGTAAAAACCAACATGGGATATGTCTGATTTCTAAGACAGACATTCTTCTGCCTTAGAACAGGCTACAAAGAGAGGAAGGTAGAATCAGTGTACCTCCCCTCTACTAATCCTATGAAAACTTTTTTCTTATGAAGAAGGTAACAAGGAATCTTAAAAGTAGCTGTGATTTGCTTTAACAAGGTAAAGACCCTATAATTAAATAGCAGATTTTAAGTTTTTCTAAGATTCGATTTCACGAAAACGGAGATTTTTGTTTTTGGTTAAAATGTTCTTTTATGGAATAGAAATGTGAATATTACTGATAACAGAAATTATATAGTACTTTCAAGTTTACAAAATGCGTTATATTAATTTCATAATATCCTGCCAACCATACGAAATAGGTACTACAGGGATTATAGTCTTCATTCTACAGATGAGGCAAATGAGGCTCGGAGAGGTAAATTACCTTGGCCACACTAAGTGTCAGTGGCGGAATTTGAATTGTTTTCTTTTCTTTAAATCCAGCACCCTATCCTCTATGCCACACTGTAACCCAATTGCTAGTAGAAATTGAGTCATGATAAATTAATGTTTGTTTGTGTAAATTTAAAGAGAATCATTTATATAGGTATATCCCATTAATGTTAATGAATTTCACCAAAGTAAATCATGGATCAATAATTTAAGTATTACCTTCTTCAGGCCAGAAAATTCAATTCTATCCCACTGATAACTTTTGGAAGTTAAAGTCTTGGGAAGAGTGAGATTGATGAGGGGCAGGAAATAGAAGTAGAAGATGAGTTCTCTTTTTGAAAGCCCTATTTTTTTTTCAGATGGGATATATTTACTTCTTTTTGAATATTTGTGGTTCTATCTCAACTATCTTTATTGGATAAAACATAAATGCATATATGGACCCAGGGAAGGGATGACTAAAGACACATTTAAAAGAA